CGGAGTTTCGCTCTTGTTACCCAGGCTGGAGTGCAATGGCGCGATCTCGGCTCACTGCAACCTCCGCCTCCTGGGTTCAGGCAATTCTCCTGCCTCAGCCTCCTGCGTAGCTGGGATTACAGGCACGCGCCACCATGCCTAGCTAATTTTTTGTATTTTTAGTAGAGACGAGGTTTCACCATGTTGACCAGGATGGTCTCGATCTTTTGACCTCGTGATCCACCCGCCTCGGCCTCCCAAAGTGCTGGGATTACACGGACTTTATTTATTTTATTTTTTTGAGATGGAGATTGCCCAGGCTGGAGTGCAACAGGTGATCTCAGCGAGCAATCTCAGCTCACTGCAACCTCCGCCTCCCTAGTTCAAGCGATTCTCCTGCCTCAGCCTCCCGAGTAGCTGGATTACAGGTGCCCACCACCACACCCAGATAATTTTTGCATTTTTAGTACAGACAGCGTTTTACCATGTTAGCCAGGCTGGTCTTGAACGCGTGATCTCAGGTGATCCACCTGCCTCGGTTTCCTAAAGTGCTGGGATTACAAGCATAAGCCACTATGCCTGGCCTCTTTTTTTCTTTTAGAGACAGGGTCTCCCTCTGTTGCCAAGGACGGAGTGCAAGTGAGCAATCATGGTTCACTGCAGTCTTGAACTTGAACTCCTCGGTTCAAGCAATCCTCTAGCCTCAGCCTCCCAGTAGCTAGGACTATAGGCATGTGCACTAGGCCCAGGTAATTAAAAAAAGAGAAATTCTTTTTTGAGATGGAGTCTTGTGATCTGGGCTCACTGCAACCTCTGCCTCCCAAGTTCAAGTGATTCTTCTCCCTCAGCCTCCTGAGTAGCTGGGATTACAGGCACGTACCACCAAGCCTGGCTAATTTTTTGTATTTTTAGTAGAGACAGGGTTTCGCCACGTTGGTCAGGCTGGTCTCGAACTCTTGACCTTGTGATCTGCTCACCTTGGCCTCCCTAACTGCTGGGATTTACAGGCATGAGCCACTGCATCTAGCTTTTTTGTTTGTTTGTTTTGTTTTGATTCGCCAGGCACAGTGGCTTATGCCTGTAATCCCAGCACTTTGAAAGGCTGAGGTGGGCAGATCACCTCAGGTTAAGAGTTCGAGACCAGCCTGACCAACATGGCAAAACCCTATCTCTACAAAAATACAAAAATTATACAAATGTGATGGCACACTCCTGTAGTCCCAGGTACTCGGGAGGCTGAGGCAGGAGAATCACTTGAACCTGGGAGGCGGAGATTGTAGTGAGCCCAGATCGTGCCACTGCACTCCAGCCTGGGCAATAAAGTGAAACTCTGTCTCAAAAAATATAAATAAGGCTGGACTCGGTGGCTCATGCCTGTAATCCCAGTGCTTTGGGAGGCCGAGGTGGGTGGATGATGAGGTCAGGAGTTTGACATCAGCCTGGCCAACAAGTTGAAACCTCGTTTCTACTAAAAATACAGAAAAACTAGCTGGGTGTGGTGGCAGGTGCCTGTAATCCCAGCTACTGGGGAGGCTAAGGCAGGAGAATCGCTTGAACCTGGGATGTGGAGGTCGCAGTGAGCCAAGACTGTACCACAGCACTCCAGCCTGGGCAACAGAGCAAGACTCTGTCGAAATAAATAAATAAATAATTTTTTTTTTGGTAGATGGAGACAGAGATCTCACTATGTTGCCTAGGTTCGTCTTCAACTCCTGGGCTCAGGCAATCCTCCAGCCTCAGCCTCCTAGTAGCTAGAACTATTAGCACCAGACCCAGCTAATTAAAAACCAATTTATTTTTTGTAGAGACAGGGTCTCCCTCTGTTACCTAGGTTGGTCTCAAACTCCTGTGCTCAAGCAATCCTCCCTCCTTGGCCTCCAGAAGTGCTGGGATTACAGGTGTGTGCCTGGCTACACCCTTTCCTAAGTCAGTATTCTCCTCCTGGGGTCTTCTCCAGACCTGCTCTCCCCGACCCCTATGTCCCGAAGTCTCAAGTGGTCACCTCATCCTTTCTGCCTGGATCCAGAGATGCCAAGACTTTCTTCCTGAGAACACTCAGCACCTTGTGCCCCTCCCCATAAATGAAAACGAAATTTTTGGCTGCGCATGGTGGCCTATTCCTGTAATCCTACCACTTTGGGAGGCCAAGGTGGGTGGATCAGGTGAGGTCAGGTGATCGAGACCAGCCTGGCTAACACGGTAAAACCCTGTCTCTACTAAAAATAGAAAAATTAGCCAGGAGTGGTGGCACGTGACTGTAAGTCCAGCTGCTCAGGCGGCTGAGGCAGGTGAACTGCTTGAACCTAGGAAGCAGAGGTTGCAGTGAGCCAAGATTATGCCATTGCACTCCAGCTTGGGTGACAGAGCAAGACTCTGCCTCAAAAAAAAAAAAAGCAAGAAAGAAAAGCAAAGTTTTGCAATTGCACAGGAAACCCAGCTTGAATCTTTGCTGGGTAACCTTGGGCAAGTTCCCAGGCATCCCTGGGCCTCAGCTTCCTCATCAGTGAAATGGTGATGTTGGTCGTGGTGCCTTCCTCCCAGCTTGCTGGGAACTGAGGGGATCAGGCGTGAAGGACAACAGGACAGCAGGGTACCCTCTGGAACATTCCACCCCACTGCCTCACCTGGTAGTAGTCTCTTTTCTGCTGGGCCAATGTCTCCATGGCCAGGGCTCCCAGGTTGAGGTCGTGCTCCAGAAACAGAGTGTAGATGTACTGCAGAGGCATGTGGCTCTGGGGGAGACAGAGTGGTACAGGAGGATACTGAAGATCTGTGGGAGCAAGGCTGGGGTTCTGGGGGTTTGGGCCCTCTGGGGGTCTGGTCATGACTACCTGCTGTTGAATGGACATCTTGCCAGCTTCAGCGATCTTCATGGTGCTTTTGGCAAACTCCAGCTCTGGAGGAAGAGAGAGGGCTGTGGGTCTGGCTGGGGACTGGGGACTGCCTGGTGCCTGGGGCTGGGCGGAAGGGGTCCTCACCATAGCTGGCTCTCTTTTCAGTCCAGGCAAGCAGTTCCTTGGCATAGCGGCTCCAGGTCTTGGCATATTCCAGGGCTGCATCCACACCCCCATTGGTCCGAATGAGCCGCAAATCCAGTTCCTCCCCTGGGGAAGATGGATGGACCTCTGACCTCTGTATCCTACTCTGCTATGGACGTCTTCCCTAAGCCCCCAGACCAGACCAGTGGCCCCTATCCTATACCCTCACAGCTCCCTTAACACTGCTTTGGGATCACTTATCCTGGTTGCAATTTTACAGATTCTCTGTTTTTGGTTTATTTTTTTAGACAGGGTCTTGTTCTGTTGCTCAGGCTGGAGGGCAGTGGCGTGATCATATCTCACTGCAGCCTCAAAGTCCTGGGCTCAATTGATCCTCTAGCCTCAGCTTCCAAAGTAGCTGGGACTACAGGACCATACCCAGCTAATTTAAATTTTTTTTTTTTTTTTTTTTTTTGGTAGGGATGGTGTCTCACTGTTGCTCAGGATGGTCTCGAATTTCTGGCCTCAAGTGATCCTGTCTCAGCCTCCTCCCTGCCTATTTTACAGATTCTCTACCCAGACGGGGGTCTCCCTAAGGGCTGGGACTGGGATCTGTGGTATGTACTGCCTTAGTCCCAAAACCTAAACAATGCCTGGCAAGGAAGAGAGGGTCAATGGTGACTTGTGGAAGGAAAGACTCCTTTCTGTCCCCACTATCCTGGCCTCCAAACCCCCCTACCTGTGAGGGGTGTAGGACCCTCTGGGGAGGGGCCGCTCCAACAGCTGGCTTCATTGGTCTGTGGGGGAGGGAGACAGTATCAGAAGCAAACAGGGCAGGGGCCTGGCCTTCCTAAGGCCCCCTGTGCCTGAAGCCTTCCTCCCTATTCCCCTAGTCCCAACTCACAACAGCGGCTGTGGGGGTCTTGTCAGGTTCTTGGTCTTCTGAGAGTAGAGGGTCTCCAGCCAGCATCTCAAAGGTCCTGGGGGGTAAAGATGTGTCAGGATGCCACCTTATACTCGGTCTGTCCTGCAAGGGGTCTTAGGGATCCTAGAGTTGTTTGTGGCAAACATCATCGCTGTGGCATCTCTTGTATCTGGGAGGTCTGAGGAATGGTATTATGGGGGAATCAGGTGAGTTTTTTAAAATGGGATTTGAGAAAGAGTCTGAAGGGCCCCAGGTAACTTTGGGGTTCATAGAGTAGGATTACAGGGATCACAAATGTTTTAAGGGGTTATAAGAAGGATATGTAGGGGTTCTAGGACCACTTTGGGGATTTCCAGTCTATTTAGCGGGGCACTTATGGGGTACCAGGGGTTCTAGGACCACTTTGGGGATTTCCAGTCTATTTAGCGGGGCACTTATGGGGTACCAGGGGTTCTAGGACCACTTTGGGGATTTCCAGTCTATTTAGCGGGGCACTTATGGGGTACCAGGGGTTCTAGGACCACTTTGGGGATTTCCAGTCTATTTAGAGGGGAACTTATGGGGTACCCAGGCATTTTAGAGGGTCCCATCCTACACTTCTCTGGCTATTAGGTACGTGGCTCCAGATGTTACAGGTTCCAAATGGGACTTCAGGGCACCTAAATGGTTAGGGGCTTGGGGCATCTTGGCAGGATTTGGGGGTGACCCAGGCTCAGACTCACACGTTCCCCAGTGAGATTTCAAGGTTGTCCAGGCTCCGGAAGATGTCACTGTACCTCTTCCTGCCCTCAGGAGCCGGGGGGAGGTCTGGGGGAGGGGAGTATAATACATGGGCTAACCACTGCCTCCTCCACCCATGGCATCTCAACCAGTCTTATTGGAGGGGGTGGAAGAGAAAGGGAAAAAGAGAGAGAGAGAGAGGGGTGTGGGGGCTTGGTTGGGGCCAACTTGAGGCAGGCAGATGGACTCACACACCACCAAACAGAGACCAGAGACAGCTGCTCAGGGAACAGAGACACCCACACCCTGGGTCTGCCTGGACCCAGAAGCAAACTAACAAAACAGATGCCCCAGATGCAATCACAGTGTCCAGAGAAGAGAGCAGGCCTGACAATGGAACCACAGGCTAGACAGATGGAAATACACAAGGGGCAGCCAGGCAGAGCCTAAGGCAGAAACACACATGGAGAGACTGAAGCCATGAGGGACATAAAGACCGAATGACACTACACACACAACACAGACACAAAGACGGCCGGAAACGCCAAGTCAGACTCTGCCACATTTCTGCTGCCCCCGCCCCTGCCCCTTCTCCTAGGGGGCCCAGACCAGCACTGCCCAGCTTCCGGGGGCTACAGAGGAGCCCTGTGGGGATCCTACCGCGTGGCCCTCTCCCTCAGCAGTCGTGACACCCTGCCCCCATCACAAAAATCAGAAGCAGAAGCGGCCACTTCCCCTTCCTGGGCCCCCTCCCCCAGGCATCCGGGGTGAGAGATCAGAAGAGGGAGAGGGAGTCAAGGGCTGATGTCCCGAACCCCTCCAGGCATACGGGTCCCCATAATGGAGGATCCTTGTGTCGTTCCCATTCAGGAACTTCTCTCCTGGCTCTCGGGACAAGTGTGTCCCCTCAATATAGGAAGCAGGGGACGGTCGGGGGAGGCCCCTCCTGAATCTCCGATCCCCTACCCGGCTCTGCTGCGTCCATGCCTGGGCCCGGGGATCGCTCTGCGGGGACCGGGATGGGGATAGGGTCTCACGCCGGTGGGGCCGAGCCCCAATTTCCTGCCGCCGCTGCCGCCGCTCGGGTTCCGCGTTGCTCCGCCCGGCGGAGGCCACGCCCCCACATCAAACCACGCCCCAAGTGGCCACACCCCCAAAGCCCGGAAGCCTTTATAGCACCCTGGTCTACCTGAGCCGCTTGAAGCTGGGTCGGGGCCGGTGCCCCCTGAGCGACCACCCAGGGCTGCAGTGCCCCTGACCTGGGCATCCTAGGACTTCATCTAGACCATAGTTTCCCTCCCAGATCTTTGTGCCGCCCCAAATCCCACGGAACCCCAGCGCCTTCCTACCCGAATGGTTGTAGAGTCCACCCGTCCCGGGGAGCCTGTCCCAGGAGCTCCCACAATCCACGACCGCAGTGATCCCCTTGCCCAAGGATTTCTCGGAGTCCTGAAACCACCTCGGCCTCACTGGATCCATGGTGCCCTCTAGTGGAGGCCTGATATTCTGCCCGATTCCAACTGAAATTCTAATACTCTGGAGCTGGAGAACCCCTGGCCTGGGGAACCCCCTGTGATCCTCAAAGCTGGATCAGGCTCGAGGCCCCAATTACAGCAAAGCAGGAAGCGGCCCTTTTAGGCAGGGGGTGGAGGTTTGTCCAGAAGCGCCAGCTCTGGGGTTGCCACAAGCCGCTTGTAAGCTGTAATGTTCCCATACCCAGCACTCAGTGGACTTTTGGGGCTGGAAATACAGACTTTAAAGTATGTTTATAACTTTACTTCCTAAAGGCTTTGGCTGCTAAGGAGGCAAGAATTCTCTGACTGGCTCTGTGTTGCCTACTCTGCAATTCTTGAGTTGTGATGAGTGAGTCCATTGAAAGGAAGGACACTGCTGAGCTAAGAGTCAAGCCAGGCTTCCGGGTCACATTGTAGCTGATGCTCAGCTAGAGCTCCCTGACCGTGACACGAGATGGTACAGCAGCGCAGGACCCCAAAGGTGTGACAGTCAATACTTGTAATGATGCGGATCATACTCCTCACGTCTCAGACACCACCAGAGAAGAAGGCATGCTGTTCTCTTATGTATTACGGGAAAGAAAAAAATACCACTCATTCTAAAGCTTCTCAGCGCCTGAGCTGTAAAAATGTGAAACCAACCATGAAAATATGGAGATACTATTTTTTCTTTTTTTTTGAGATGGAGTCTCGCTCTGTCGCCCAGGCTGGACTGCAGTGGTACGATCTCCACTCACGGCCACCTCCACCTTCCATGTTCAAGTGATTCTCATGCCTCCGCCTCCTGAGTAGCTGAAATTACAGGCACCCGCCCCCCACACCTGGCTAATCTTTGTACTTTTAGTAGAGATGGGGTTTCACCATGTTGGCCAGGCTAGTCTTGAACTCCTGATCTCAGGAGATCTGCCCACCTCGGCCTCCCACAGTGCTGGAATTACAGGCATGAGCCCCTGCACCCGGCCAGGGAGTGCTTGTTAAATTAGAAAATATGCACTGAATTTTCTGAGCAGGGACAAGTCCAAGTTCAACTGCTGAAAGTGCTAGAGGGTTTCACCAACATCGCACACCCTTTTGGGAGGGGGGTGGTGCCTTCTTCAGTGACCCTCTGTCCCCAGTCTCACAGAAAACACTGTGTGGCGCAGATGAGGTAGAGGCAGGGCTTTTTAAAATCTCAGATGCTGCTTTATTTACCAAAGGTGCTGGCTCGGGGCTGGCTCTGCCAAGCCAGCGGATGGCTGTGGGGGTCCCAGCTCAGTCTTCCAAGAGCGAGGCTGTACAGCCTTGCCGTGGGGGGTTGGGGACAGGGCTCCCTCCCGGGTCCCTGGTGGGGTTCCCGCCCAGCAGCAGCCAGGGTGGGCAGTGGGTACCAGCACTGCCATCTCAGGAAGGCACTTTCAGCTTCGGGGTCCCCAAGAAGAACTGCAGGACGCGGTCGGCCAGGAGCGCCAGGCAGAAGTCCAGGAGCAGGACCTGGGCGATGACCAGCTTGAACTGTGAGGGCAGGGAGGGATGGTGAGCTGGAGACCTGCAGCCTCGCCTAGGGTCACCGCCACAGGAAGGACCCATCAAGCTGAGCCCCAGGGTCACATCCACAGGGCCACTGACCTCCACAGGGATGTCCACGAGGCCAAACTGGCTGTTGAAGTCAGGCGAGGAGCCGAGGAGCAGGCCGACGATGGCCAGGAGTGACACTGCCAGACTCCACACCAGGGGCTTGTTCTCAGGCAGGCTCTCCATGAAGGGAGGGCCCTGTGGGGATGAGGGACAGATGGCTTCATGGGTGGGGCTGGGTGGGCAGACAGGGAGTGTTCAGGCGGGGCCCAGGCATCACCTTGTAGTTGATGGCGAAGGTGGCCATCTGCATGGCCATGGCCATGATGTAAACAGTGCTGTTGACCAGGCTTGGCTCAAACTCCTTGTACAAGTCCACGAACTGCTCCTGCCTGCAGGGACACATGGGGGTCAGGTCCCCGTCTTCTGCTCTGGCTCACACACTCTGTGACTTCCTGTTGCCCTGGTGCAGAGCCAGGGCCCTGCCTGTCCTGTGCCCCTCCCTGGTCACCCTGGACAACCCCCAGGCTCTCCTGCTGATGTCTGTGGAGTCACCCTCCTGCTACTCTCAGCTGCAGAGACATCCCTCCTCCGGGCAACACTTACTTCTCGGGGCTCCGGGCCTGGGCCTCACGGTACAGGTAGACGAGGCTCAGGAAGTGCACAAAGAACTGGAGCATGACGGTGAGGATAGTGTACAGGTTAAAGATGTTGGGAAGGGGTCGTTCTCGGGAAAGGGTCTTGAGAGGCTGCAGCAGCAAGGCAGGTTGAGGGGAGGTCAGGACCTGGCTCACTTGGGGCCACACTGACCACTCAGCAGGCAGTAACATCCCCTGCCTCCTGGGAGGCCTTGTGCAGAGCCGCCACCAAATCCTGGAGGATTCCTGGGTCGGCAGCAGTCCCCCAGCCCTGTCTGCCTATGACCCTGAGCCCAGGGCTGCTTCCCTAGCTGTGGATCCACCATCCAGCCTCCCAGTGGCAGCCACAGGGGCCTGAGAACCATGAAGCAGATCCTGCCCTCCCTGGAGCCCATGGGACAGGCACAATGCTGCCCAGCCAACCTCCCACTCCCTCCAGCTACCGGGGCCTCCCTGCCTCAGCCCATGCCTGGCTGAGGTCTTTCTGTATAGTTCCTGGCCACTGGCCCTCTGGTTCTTTACACCTCGGCCTGAGTGTCAGGTCACATAGACGTCCCCAGCTGTCCACCAGCCTGTCCTGTGTAGCCGGTGATCCACTTAGTTGCTTTTTACCCTCTTGATAATTGTTCCTTGTGGGGCTCTGCACGGCCCACCCTGGGATCCCTGCCCATGGACAGGTGTAGGACCCCAAGCTGTGCCACCTGGAAGGGTCTGGGAGCCTCAGTCCTCACCTGCCCTGCCGGCATTTCCTGGGCCATCCCAGCTACAGCCCCTACCTCTGGGGCCCTGGGTCCTGTCTGTAACCTGGGATGACAGTTCCTGTGCCTGTGACAGCCTGGCCCTGGCTAGCCCATGCATCCCTGACCTCCCAGCACCACTGGGGCCCACCTTGGAACGGGAGATGAAGAGGAAGCAGCCGGCCAGCAGCAGCCCCTGTAGGGTGGCCTGGAAGTCACTGAACTTGACCCCCTCCAGGTAGAGGACGCTCTGGCTGTAGGCCAGGATGAGGGCGTTGAGTGCCAGGATCTTGAACATCTGCAGCGTGGTCACCAGCGTGCAGCGGCCCTGCTTGATCACGTGGCAGACTGCAGGGTTGCGGGGAGGCAGCTTTGGGTGTGGGTGTGCTTACCAGCACCAGCGGGGGAATGGAGGAAGGGGAGCAGGGCTTGGGGGACTCACTGCACTGGATGGACGAGAGCTTGGAGGTGAAGGGTGCTGCGATGCTGGCGTCCCCCAGCTTCACAATGGGCGTGTTCTCATCCTCGAGGTCTCGAAGCACCTGGCTCAGGCGGTCCTGCAGGGTGGGCAGCAGGGTGTCAGCCCTGGCCAGGAAGGGGTGCAGAGCCTCCCCTCTTGGGACTTACCCTCTGGGAGGCCAGCTGCTCCTCGGAGGGAGGGAGCCCCGACCGCTGCTTGGCTGTCCTGGAGGTGGCTCTGATGCCACTGTTGTTCAGGGTTGGGCTGTCCCGGGGCCGCCGTCGCCGCTCCACGACCCGCTCAGGGGCATTGGCCAGGAGTGCCACACCTGCCAGGCAGGAGGGTGTCAGGCCCGGAGGAGCGGGCTCCATGGAGGGGCAGATTCGCTGGCCTCAGAGCCCCTGCTCCTGAAGCTCCACAGCTGGCTCCTGTCAGGACAGTTCCCAAACTTCCCCATTTCACTTGACCCCCTAAGGAGACCTCAGAGAGCACCCATGTTGCTTTCTACAAATTACTTTAAGAAAACAAACCACCGCTAACAAACTCCCACAACAAATGCGATGAAAAAACACATACTAGGCCGGGCACGGTGGCTCAAGCCTGTAATCCCAGCACTTTGGGAGGCAGAGATGGTCGGATCACCTGAGGTCAGGAGATCAAGACCAGCCTGGCTGATATGGTGAAACCCCGTTTCTACTAATAATACAAAAATTAGCTGGGGGTGGTGGCACGTGCCTTTAATTCCAGCTACTCAGGAGGCTGAGGCAAGAGAATCGCTTGAACCTGGGGGGCAGAGGATGCGATGAGCTGAGATCACACCACTGCACTCTAGCCTGGGCAACAGAGTAAGACACGGTCTCAAAAACTGAATTGATTTCAAAAGAAATCGCCAAGGAGCGTGATTCTAGGAGGCAAACAATACTCAAAAATTGTTTTATAGATAAAAACAGATAAATATTGGAAAACAAAAAAAACAATGTGAGGTTGATCTTTAAAGTTCATTTTAACACCTCTGTTCTTGTAAAAAAAACACAAAACAAAACAAAACAAAAACACA